TGGGCAGGGGACGCCTCGAGCAGTTTCTCACAGAAGCCCCCCCTATAGCCCCACCACCACCAAAACCTTGCCCTGCAAACCCAGCACACTCTTGCAAGGGCCTGAAGGGGCATCTTCTGGCTGCGGGGCTTTCTGAGCCCCGGGCAGCGGGGAGTGGGGGGCTCTGCCAGCGGATCTGCACTGCGCTGCCGTGGTTGGTCTGCAGGTCTGTCAGGGCACGGAGACGGCTGCTGGTGGGGCTGCTGATGGGATGGGGGTCATGCAAGATGCTTCCCTGCAACTAAAAGGAGCAGCCAGCAGTGAAGTCTGGCATAAAAGCAGTGGGGTTGCCTTTTGAGAGGAGTGCTTTGACAGCGGAGAAAACTCCTTTACTGCGGGAGGGGAAGGGTGGGGGCAGGGGGTGTTTGGCCAGACACACTTCAGAAGCTGAGGAGCTACAGCAGTGAATCAAGCAGCACTGAGACCTGCCGGTAAGTTTTGAAAAGCCTGGACACGTGTTGAGAAAACCCTTTGGAGCACCGAGATGCCTCTTAAATTTCCCCCCAGGTAGGAATGTCGGCGACAGTGGTGCAGCTGGTGTGGAGCCGGGGGCTGGTGCGGAGATGGAGATGAGAAGCATGAATGTGTGACGTGGAAGGGAACGGGTTCGTTCATTTTGCCCTCCAGAAGACTGGAAAGTTGGTAGCTGTGAAACCTGCGTGGCCTTGCGAAGGGCCATATTTGGGGCTGATATTTTGGGACTATTACTTACTGAAAGGGTACCTGGTACGTAGGGGTTGTTGGAAGTGAACTGCTCAGCTGATTTTTGTCAATGAACATTGCAGCCTCTTTATATTACATATATTTTAGTATGCTGTAGTACATGTTTGCTTCCAATTATGTCATTTTCGAGAAAAATGAACTAATGGGCTTTCTTTTCCACTTAATTTTTAAAATTAGCACACTGTTGAAAATGATCAGATGTGGAGAAGACCTGGCAGATACCAGTGCAGTTGATGTTTCAGCTCATGAAATCACAAAGGAAAGGAGAAGAGGAACTGATCTGTCTCCTCTCTTAAATTTCAGCCAGAAATATCAGATAATTGAGGGAACCTGTCAAACTAATGCAAACCTTCAGCTGCAGACCTGGACGGCCAGGCTGGCCCACGTGCTCCCGGGGAGGCACAGAGAGCTCCGGGTGGAGAGGTCGTCTTCACGGAGACGTCTTCTGCAGGAGAAATGCTTTCCAAGCAGGTGACATTTAAATCTTTTGCTTACTATAAATATCCCTGCCTGTGACGCGTTTGGTTGGAGCTGGGGATGGTTTGGTTGCTGCTGGATGGCGCCGGGGTGGCAGCACGCGGGAGGAGAACGAGCAGAGGGTCCTTCCCACCGCGTGTGGGAACAGAGATGCTGGAGCAGGGCAGCTGGGATCTCCTGCCTCCGAGGCGGACGGAGCGATGGCAAACCCAGCCGTGATCCGACCAAAGGTGGGATGCGGGCTCTGGAGGCAGTGGGCACCGCCTGCCCTTCCTGCCTGGCTGCCCGCCGTGGCTCCTGCGTAGCGGGGAGGGACGGCCTGCACAAAACCTGCCCGAGGAAATAGCAGAACATCTGAACTCCTACCTGTGAAGTTCAATTCTGGGTTTCCTAAAGCAATCTCCCTGTTCCACCAGCCTCATCAGGGAAGAGAGTAATTTCATTTAATCCATTTCTTGAGTTCAGAGTCAACTGCGTTGCCATCATGCTAATACCGCTGCTCTGCTGTCACTAGAGACGGAGTGACGAGTTTAGACCTGAAATCGAATTTGGCTCTAAGCTTGGAGAAGATCTATCAGCCAGATTAGCCATGGTCTCTGCCCAGAAGCTTTGTCAGGCGGCTTAGCCCTGCGAGGGTGCGTTAGGCAAGGCAGGTGAGGTTATATCGCTTTTTGTTTTGGGAGCAATGAAATGCAGAAACAATATCTATGCAAAGCAATCCAAATATTTATATCGAGGGCTGAGTGTTTGTTTTCAGGGGGAGTGTTGCCTTTTGGTATTCGCAGCTTTTTGAATTTGTGCCTTCCCTCGTATGACTGCAAATAAGGTTTTCACTTCCAAGGATGCTCACGAGCAGCTGCTGACATAAACCTCTACATAAACTACATAAACTATAGAGGTTTATGTCAAATGTGTGTGTTTTCTGACGGGCATTCATGGACCGAGGGCTGCAATGGAGTCCTGGCACAAATCCATTCAAGCGCTCGTCCTCCTGATGAGGTCTCGGCTCCACAGCGTATGGTGGCCAGGGGCACAACGCTTGTTTTGCCAGTGAATAGCAAATTTTCTGGAGAGTGAAGTTTGGAAATGATGAGAGCTATAGCTAAAAGGGATGAGTTCAAGGGATATTTAGTCCAGATGAAAGGTGAGATTTCAGCACAGCTCTCAGTTTTGAAGTTGTCAACTCACATTTTTATTATTTTTCCTCTTTGAAATGGCATTTTTC